CCCCCTTTTCACCAGAAAATTGCAATACTTTTTCTTTAATGCAGTATTGTACTCAGGCATTTTTGTATAGTAAAGAGTATTTACTATTGACTTCAGAATATCTCCTAATATCAAGTGTACATGGCTTTAAAATAGCCTCTAAATGTCCTCAAAATGCCCATGATATTGGTCAGATTTCAAAAAAATTTCTGAGAGGGCTTACACAGCCTCCCAAAACCCCCCAACTGGGTGGGCTTGCTGTACTCGCCATGTTCCCCCATCCACAATTTCTTGGTCCCCCCCCCCTTTTGATATTCCTGAATTCACCCCTGACAAGAAATGATGTTGAGTGCTGCGTGAGGTGGTGAGGTGAAGTGGTGTGATCAAAGGTACTGTGAGTTACCTTCTTAAAACATCAAGTTTAATGTCCAACATAATTCCTTTACGAGATCTTTTAGCACCACTGCTTTTACTTGAACTTGATGGCCTCTTTCTACTCATCATCTTGAATAAGGGTACACAGTACAGTAATACGTTCCTGAACACAGATGCAAAACTGAACAAACTGAGGAATGATATCAAACTGAGCGACACTGTTAGTGTGGGTATGTGCACCGTCCTCCACCATATTCAACCACCAAGAATCCACATAAAAAAATAATAATTTTGGTGCAATTTTTTGTTCTATATTGCAATTATCATGTTTAAAAAACTTAAAAATTTACCCCAATTCCATAAGGGTTAATTTTTTGGACGTATCCTGAATTTATTGGTCATAATTTCTAATTCCATAAACGCAAATTTCTGCAACCAAAGTTTCCGTATCCTGGGGGATGTCTGTACTGTATTAGTGTAAAACAGCAATGTTATGTTGTGATTTTAAATTACTGATATAAAAGCACACACTTCAGAGGGAATTATTGAACAAAGTGAGTGAGTTGTGGGAGAGCCTTCACGTACCTAGAACCTCAACTTACCCCATCTTGTAGTCAATGCTAAGAAGGCTGCAACAAGTACAGTACAATAATGTATCATCATTTAGTGAAATATGATCTATCTTTATCTTGATTGCTCCCCACATTTTTCAGTCGTGTTCCAACTAGAAAGGGTCATTGAAGAGAATACTTTAATAGAATGTCATACTGTATGAATTGGGTCGGTATTTGTACCATTTAGTTGAATAGTCAGACATTATTTTGGGACATCAAGGTGGCATTTACATATGTACTTGTATTAGTTATTCTTGAAATATTGATGGAAAGTCTAGTATCATATCAGTGACATCATGAAACACTCGACCACATTTTACCACCTAATCACGGAAAGTTACTGTACTGTACGTACTGATATACTTCAAAATGAAGGACCACAAAGATGATAGGGAGAGGAATTATGGAAACTGGCACGTCAGGGAGAAAGAAACATTATATAGTATAGATTACAGATAGAGGAGGCTAGACTTATTGATTCAATAAAATGGTGAAACATTGATATATTAACAGACTGTGATAATATCTGGAGCAACTGGCAACTGATCCAAAGATCCTCAACCCAGTGTTTCAAGTTCTTGGGAATTTTTCTGAATCTCAGGAAATTTAGATGCTTTGTGGAACTTTCTCAGATGGAAAAAATCAGGAAATTTAAGGAATATCAATTATAGAAAAGGTAAATTCTGCTAGGGAGCATTCTAATGAAGGAATCTGTCACTTGTTGAACTACCTATACTATTTACCATAAAACACAACTCATCATGATAAGTAGAAAGGAATTTAGCTGTTATTCTTTCAACCATGAGAAGGATGAGAAAGTGTAATGTACTGTAGAGTATCATGAGCATTATGTGTTGACCCATTTTGCAGCACCATGTATCCTTAACAGGTAGACATAATATATAAAGGCATGTAGACAATTGTATACATTACAGTATCAGTAATATCTCCGTTAGCCAGAATCTCTCAAACCCGGAACTCTACGAAAGCCGGAATTGAAATTTTCATGGAAAATCATTCCTAAAGCTGCAATTTTCCAGAAAAATCTGGCTTTGGGAGCAATTTCCCATGGGGCACATTTTCTGGAAAATTACGAGAAAATTTTTCCAGTACCCGGAAAATTCCGGGGATGGGGGGTCTGGCTTTGAGAGAGTCATCTCGTTACCTGGAAATCTCTCGATCTTGGAAGTGCTCTGCATCAATTGTTCCGGCTACTGGAGATGTCACTGTACTGTATTGTATTAGGGAAGCTATGAATAAATAAAGAACAAATAAACCAGCATATAGTTTAGTAATGTTTTTATTATGCCAAATGAATATACAGATAATATAATATGTACAAATATTAATAACAGGTTCCACAGGAAAGGCAGCAGAGTTTATTTAATGTGTTCATAATAATCTTGACAACACCTATAAAGATAATTTCTGTGAACATTACTTGTGGAGGGAGGGGAAGGAGGGAGGGGGGAGAAGGAGGGGTGGAAGGAAAGAGGGAGGGAAGGAAGGAAAGGGAGAGGGAGGGAAGGAGAGAGAGAGGGAGGGAAAGAAGGAAAGGGAAAGGGAGGGAGTAAAATGGCTGAAGCAACTTGCATTACTTCTGTTGCTGTAACATCAGAACACCAAAGTGGCAGACTTGATACTTAGCTCAACATGGCATATATTGTATTGGAGCATTATGTATGGTGTTAAACACTGCCTATTACCTAAATCATACACATAAGATCATTTAACATTCAGTAAGGATCCATAAAACATATACAGTAACATTATTGTCTAAAAAAATTCCATTTCAAGTTGATAAATTGCAATGTTTCTATTGTCTAGTCCCTGATAAGAAGTATTAACACCTACCTAGCAAAATCATTCTCATTAACCCCTTCAGTAGTGCTTCACCCCTGGCAGGATATTGTCTACTGTGCTAAGGATATTGCAGCTTGGTGGCCAACATGAGATTTACACCTTACAATACAGTTCACTAGTCTTGAAGGTTTATATCCTGAGAAATTGTGCCCAGACAAATGTTCAGGAGTCAGTTTTGAACAGCTGAATACATTATAGGCAAGGGATATCTGTTTCTATTGCTCTTGAACTTTAAAAATCCTTCGATACAATGAGGTTTAGTGCCTATATGTCAGCCAAATACTGTATTTATAATTTTCCTTTTTTAAACCATTAAGGTTGTTTCAAAATGGAGAGTATTAATAAAATTACAGTAAATACACAACACTGAAGGGGTTAAGAAGTTACAAATGAATGTTTGCCATCTTAAAAGACTGATTGGTGTTGCCAAGACTTAATATTATATCACTTAATAAACTGGTAATACATCTCTTACAACACCATGAATCAGGAAGCTATAACGTATTTAGCAACTAATACTCTATTTTACGGCATATAAGACGCACTTTTTTGTCTAAAAAAGGCAAAAAAAATCAGCCTGCGTCCTATATGTGAAGTTGCTGTCTCCAGTAGGCTCAATTCTACATATCCCAACTTCAGAATTAAAAATATGTTATTGCTTATTTAATCTTTATTATTATTTTGAAATTATTAAAAAATAATTATTGTAAATATAAAATGTCGATCTATAACTACTCTGTACTGTACTGATGACGATAAACTGCAACGATTAATGTCCGTACGGCAGACACCCAACTCTTCAAAGGTAGCTAAGCAGTAACCATTTTTTAACTAAAAATTATTAATGCCATACCTGCAACATTTATTTTTCAATCTTCAAATATCTGATACAAATGAAGATTTGCAGATAACTTTCTTTTCACATTTAGATCTGTTAACATCGCTGGTGGCATTGTAACCACCAGGATACTGGGCCAAGCTGTTGTTTTTCAACTCGTATTTTTGGGTAGATACAGTATTCGTAACTACAGTATCTTCATTTATTTTTACTGATATACATGTACACAACATCCTACATACATATTGCGAAAAAATTAAAAGAAGTTATTGTCCTAAGGTCAAACACATAAAAGGAATATACATTTCTTTGTACACGAGTTAGCTGGCTTAGTGGGGGAGCGGGAGGACGGCTGGGCGGTTGGTGGTGGGGGGATCGTTGCTAGGGAATCGGCGGAGGTAGCGACGCCATTACTATGGTGAACAGGGAGTACAGATGTACAGTACATAAAAATGGCGACTGTGTTAAACTTTCATTTACTGGTTTGGCAATACAGTATTTTTTTTTTGTAACTTATTTATTGGTAGTATTTTTATTTATTCCTGACATTTACTGGTACTGTATATATTGTTTTAAGAAAACTATGGCTAAAGGAGGAAAATACACACAAAAGTTTTTTCCTAAATACTCCTTGCTAAAATGGGTGTCTCTTATATGTCATAAAATACAGTAGACTATTAATATGTGAAGAAAGTTTTAAGGTCACTGTGGATGAGTAGATTTAACACTTAATTACAGTATTGTTCAAAAAGTAAATTAAACATTATTAGAGTACTGTAGTGTTTCTTAGAGGGATATCCTTTAGAAAAAATTATAAACAAACTCTGCTATGCTATGTGAACAATTTGTAAACACTGCTAAATAAAATCACAATGCTGATCACAAAGGGAGCCTTCCATCACGAAACGTAATGCTCTTCCAGTTAGTTTACCCCATGTTGAGACGGTAAATCAAGTTAGGTGGAAGTAACTTAGTAAGTTAGTCAAAAGTTAAAAGAAACATAAAGTTGGAAGTCCATTACAATCAAAAAGAAAAATAAGAATTAGATATCCACTACCTGGCAAATGAGTTTTAGATTTGCACTATGATCCCTTCACAAGCAGTGTCCCTCAGCAACCAATACCGCTGAACTTTAAACCTAGAATAGATACATACAACTATTGTACAGTCTCATTCAAGATTCTTCGAACACTGCTGGAGACAGCTGGCAACTCAAGGCCAATTGTTTACTGTAGTACATAGTATAATATAATACGAAACAACAAAGCCCAACCATTAAATTAAGCAACGGGGAACTAAGTAATCAATCACCGATCACTTTTACATTTATTCATAATTTTTACTTCGTACTTTAGTAAACAAACGGCCTTGAGTTGCCAGCTGTCTCCAGCAGTGTTCGGAGAATCTTGAACGAGACTGTACATATTAAAAAGAATACAAAATAATTTGTACTAAAAATATAATGGTTAAATAAAATACATGGTACATTTTACCTGAAAGAAAATTTTACACATGATAATTATCTTTGAGATTTTTCAACCAGTGTGGATATGACTCATGGCAAAAAATATTATTGGAAATTTCTTTTAAGTGTGATATTAGTACTGTACAAGAGAGCTTCGATTTACGAAAATTCGCTAATACTATAATACAATTTTTTCTTCCAGCACTTCACTGTACGAACGAAAACCCCACTTTTACGAAAAACTTTTACAGTACCATATTTTTTTTTAATATTGGAAACTGCTGAGTTGCTGACACAGGCATCTGAGGGCATCCCCTTGCTGAACACAGACAGTAAAAAGTGTACAGTACTGTAGTGCAGGCTAGTGTAGCAACATTACTGTGCTTATATACAGTACACATCTACAGATAATATGTCATATGAAGGTGATACTGTATACTGTATTGATCTAAAATTACAGTATGGCTAACCAACCACCAAATAAGAGAGACAAATTTATAACTGATTACTGTACTTCAATTATGGTATGTTGATATGGAGGAAGAAATTGATGAATCTGTCATATGCATACCAACAAGAACATGACAGTGACCTTAACTCAGGCCACATACAACAAGAGGAATTTAATTGTCAGGTCATACCCAATAATCTTGATAATAGCCATAAATGTTCCATCAATTGCTCTGAATGTTTTTTAGACCCAACACCGACCACCTAGTTTCCATAAGTAGAATACTGTATACTCTCAACCAAAACTTCTCCAACACCTGGGCACGATGGGTGTGAAAATGAGCAGAATGGGGCTTGTCATCTCGGAATGGTTTCAGATTCTTAGTTCATTTTTCAGATTGCATTGTGCCTATAGCATTGGAGAAGTTTTTGGTGAGTGTACAGTAATACAATACAATACTGCACCTCCATTAAGCAGAACTCTCCAATATCTCTCAATTCCAGGTCTGTGAACTAGTTTCTGAGGTTGAAAATCAGGAGTATTTTCTGAAAATTCCGGAAAATCTCTCCAAAGATTTATTTTTCACGTCTGGGAACAAATTTTGAGGTTGAAGATCATGCACATTTTCTGGAAAATTCAGAGAAATCTTCTGGAAACTCTCATCAATATTTTTTTCCGGGTTTAGGAGCAAATTCCGAGGATAAATTAATACGTCATTCTGGAAAATTCCAAGAAACATTTCTCAGTACCCAGAAAAATTCCAAGGATATGGGATTTTTTCCAGGTTTGAGAGTCGTCCTATTACCCGGAAAACCCTCATCCTCGGAAGACATCTGCACTAATTATTCCAGCTAACGGAATATCACTATTCTAAAACATATTAAATAAACTTGATACTGTACGCATTATACTGTTTTATTAATCTTATTAACATTAATACATATGCTTAGAAGTATTGTTTCCCACAATTTTTTTTTTTTAATTTGTATTTTTACGTTTGGGGACATTTTTTCTTCATGTGAAAAATGGCTTCGATTTACAAAAAAAACCCTCAATTTATGAAAAGTTTTCAGGAATGTATCCCTCTCGTAAATCAAAGTACTCCTTTAGTCCAAATGTTTATCAGGTTTGTGTTCATCTGTAAACATTAATTTTATCATCATCATCATCATATGGCCAAAAATAAACCCAGGGGTGTGCAATCACTCTAATTATGCAAAATACAAACTAAATTTTCTGAGAATATTCTTGTGAGTAAGTTAAGTTATAGTATTTGACATGAAAGGCACGAGAGCTTTTTAATATCAGTTTAGCCGCTGATATTGAAATTCTCCAAAAATTTTTAAATACCTTACATACAGTATAGTATTTCAAGATGTGATTTAAGCACAACATAATATTGTCTGTGAATATGAAGGTTGACTGTTAAACGATGCAAATAACAGGAGAGTTTGATGTTGAGTGGCTTATATGTTATAGCAGGAAGAGTACAAGGATGAAAAGTACAGGAAACAGAGGTTGTGTTCACTCTTGGTTACATTCATCCTGCACGTGATCTTGACCGAGCGCTCTTGGTGTCGTCGTCTTATGTTCCATGAACGTGAGTTAAATAATGTTCTATGGTATTTACTTTGTGAGTTACACGTGACTGATTGCAAGTATTGCACAGTTGTCTAGAGTCACCTTCTGTTTCTACATGCCTGAAGCTTAAATTAATGGAATCCGTCAAATATCTTTTCATATTCATGACCAGATTATATTTTCAGAGCTGTAAATTCATTTTAACCAATAGGTACAAATTCACCAGAATATAATCTGTTGTCTGGTCTGTGTCATTTTGCTCTGTGAATTATCAACAGTTTTATGAAGAGCTTTTTGAATTGCTAATTTTTAGTATCAAACTTCCTTGAATTCCTGTATTATTGTGTGGTTGTTGCCTCTGAATAATGATGTTTTGCATAAAAGTATGAATTAATGAAAGGCTTTTATGCGCACTTACGTACACCATTTTATATCTTGTGCATTGATCCAAAAAAGTGTTGACATGTTCATAGGATTTTGTAGTTTGCACATCCCTGAGATTAGTGACCACAGGAAACATTTTCATAAATTTCACCAACAAGAATGCATCTTAACAGTTGCAAAATGTTCCATCAAAGTTTTTGTAAATTTAAATGGATAAGCAGAATAAATTCCAAGCAATATACAGTACTGTACAGTAAAATCCCATTATCACACATATGCAACCTAATGAAAATCTCTTTTTTCCAAATGCAAGACTGGTTACACAATACTGGTACTGTACAGTTTTTTAAAATGGAAAGAATTAAATTACAAAACAGCTAAACTTGGCATTGAGTTGCTCCACAATTAGCTGCTATGCATGATGGAAACAAAGAGTCTTAATATACTCGATAAACATGTTTAGTTTGTGTTCATTAACTGCATCCCTATTTTAACTATGGTATCCAAAATACAGTAAGTTCAATGGTCTCCAGCATTACCTACTCCAGAGCATAAACAGGTGATTTACACCACCTTGGAGTCATTGAGGCAGTGAGGAAGTCCCAGAAACAAATACCATAGAATAAAGTTCAAGTTTCCAAAGTTAAATGAGATTTTCGCTTAGTTATGGACAGAGCAGTGAAGTGAAGCAGTTTTATAACCTTATAGAAACTAATGTATCTTTTGAATACTCTGTAGAGTGTCTTAAAGGGCAGACATAGTATAAGGAAGCTTCTTGTCAAAAGAGAAGTATTCTGTTGATTACAATTGACAAACTTCATTTCACAGATAATTTCACTACAATATTCTGAATAGTGCTTTGGTCCGGATCTCTTTTTGTATACAATGGGACTTTACTGTGTTAATATTGTAATGTCTGAATAACATGAAATGGCATAACAACACCTTTTGCTCATCCACTTAATGATGACAGCCGAGTACTAGCTTTAATATGAACATAACTCCATGGTCAACTTACTACATTCTATGGGCCAGACAAAAGACGACAAGAAGAAAGCACTTTAAGACCATTTTCTGCTTGTTTTTACATGTTCTCTGGTATCTTAAAGTTTGTCCACCAGATGAAACTAAATGTAGGGTGACACGAGTCTGACACTCCTCTCATGACTGCAAAACAGAAAAAAATGAACAATGCTAATTCCATATAGCTAGTTTACACTAGTCTACTATTTTAAATGAAACTTGGAAAAAATTAAGCACATGATGACTATGCAACCAATGTGCTGACTGTAAGGTTCATCAATACATTTCTCCCTGGAGGAAACTTCAAATCTTATGATTTTTGTAGCAACTCAAACACATTCCAAATGCACAATGAAAATTTTATGCTGGATCATTAGTTGCCAATTAAGTTGTGCCCATAAACACAGGTTATAAATGAAAACAGTAGTTGCTTGAACTCAATGAAATGTTGGATAGCATACAAGGCTGTTCTTGCAGTCTAAAACTCAGAACTTGTGTAGTACTGTACTACTGTACTGTACTAAGTCATTGAAAGTCATCAGTTTTGAAGTCATTACATCAAATATATGATTTCCTGCATGACTGACTGGGTAAAAATCAAAGAGCACTGTTATAAGGTCCTGTGGCTCTGAAGTAACAAAAAAAGGGATTTGTGCTCCTTACACTCTGCTGCCTTCAACTTAAAGACTCAACTTGAATAAATCACTAAACAGTACCAAAACAGTCCTAAAGACAGCCACTTATTTTTTTTAAACCAGTCAAATGGAATACTGTATACTGAACTGAGTTGGCTTTCATTAGCAGGTTACACAACTAGTTAAAATATTCTAAGCAATAGCTGATATGTTTTAATGGTTCTGTCCCAACGAGCAGTCATGCCTAGGGGACCTGTTTTCACTTTCGATGGTTCTGCAATCATTTGGGTGTTTATTCTCTCACGCACTCACACATTACAATGCCCTGGATTTTCAAAAAGGATGAAAGGTGTAGAAGTTAACAATAATTATAATACCCAAAACTTCAAAAACTTGCTTATAAAAATACAAATGAAATCTTGGTGTCCTAACTTATATCACTGATATATAAAAATACAAATGGCTGACTATACCATATTAAAACAAATAAAATTTGATAAAAATCTGTATAAATCCCATCAAATACTTAATAAACTCCATCTACCTTCCCTTACCAGACACATGACCTCAAAACATATCTGTGGGTTCCTCTTCTTAAATACATATAATATTTCTCACTATGTCCTATACAGTGTTACCCTTAATCTCTCTTATCATATCATTCATAAATTTTCTGGTCACTATTGTATCTTTTAAGCCATAACGGTCAATTTTGTAATATTTCCTTTACATTCAGGCAACTGTTACTATTCACCCATTCTCCTTATTAACAATCCCTATCTCAAATTCTTGGATGCTACTATTCAAATCTCTTATTACAAAACCTCATCTCACAAACACACAACAGTGAGTTAAGCACCATTTCTCAATCACAATGCTGACCAACACATCACATAATACCTCAAATTTTTAGCAGTATTAACTCAAGTCCCATACTCAACCTTTACTAATCCAACAGCTTTTTTCAAGAATGGCTTAATGCAGCTAATTTGTGAGAAGGCAACCCAAAGGCTAGAAGGATAACTTCAGCCCAGGGTAGCCAACCCATTGCACATCGTAGTATAATACAGTAATACCCCATCAACCCTGTTTAGTCATGAAACTGAACCTGTATCTCATGGGTGGGAAGTACAAAGAACTAACAATAATATAATGATAAAAAATTGTATCTATCAAATTCTACAACAAATAAATTCATCCTACAGTATATTCTCAGGTGTAGGTGATCGTAGACCATCCCACCCTGTCCTTCAGAATTAAATTTTTTCCTTTATTGCATCTGTAGTATATATTTCACTGAGGATGTTCTATCATCTTCCATGTACAGTACTGCACCATTTACTAGTACTTCCCAAGTGGACCTCTCCACCACCAGTGGCCCTCTCCACAACTGACTCCCACCAACAGTGGCCCCTTCTGCCAACAGTAGCCCTGTTCACCAATAGAGGCCCTTTTCACCAACAGTAGTCCTCTTCACCAATGGTGGGCCTTTCCAGAACCTCACTCCACCCCAATAATGGCTCCTTCCACTTCTTTATTCAACTAATATTGAGTCTACTAACCTCATAACTCCACCATACTATAGGTACCAGACCATTTATCCAGCTTCCAGGGAACTGGATTTACCAGAAAATCGGTTGTTTTTAACCTGGTTAGTTTGGAAACTAATGGGTTTGGCTGGCCACATTGTTTTCCTATTGGTAATGCCACAGTGTCATCAGCTTTAAACAGCTGACATTTGTGTGTACCGTACTTAAATCTCTCTACTTTGTGTGGTTATTTACCCTAATTTATGATCATTATCATCTATTAACATGTCTAAAATGCTGGCAGGAAGTCCACCTAATAATGGAACATCCAAAAGAACAAATTTTTTGCTCCAACAATAATGCATCGCGATAGTCTTTATTTGTCATTGTGGTGATTCTTCTCATTCTCTCTCACCAGTATTTTTACAAGTGGTTTGTGAGTCTACTTACTGCCTAACCACTCAGTACCCAAAAATGATGCATGAATAGTGTGAAGAGCATCTAATATCATGTAGAGTAACCATTTTAAGTAATAATAGAACACACATCACCGGTCAGCCGAGGGGTGGCTACACAAGTTGTCAGTGTTATATGTAAAGAAACTATAAAAGTTGTAGAAAAATCCTTACAATACTCTTATGTGACTTGAAAATAAAGAAAATATAAAACAAAAATAAGAAATATGAAGAGCAAGGGTTTTTCTTCTGTGTGGGAGTTGAACGTGTGTATGCAGGTAGTGAGCGGTTTGTCAACAGCACATCTGGTGACTTTACCAGTTAGCTTTATTTCAGCTTAAACATGTGTACCTCTGCTGTAAGTTTACCTTATCCTCTTCAAGCTAAATTTAAGCTAAGCTCAAAATAACTATTTTCTCGTTGTTCCTGCCTTGTGTCAACAGCTGTGTGATATCATTTCAAGTGGCATGCAGTAGCCACACACATCTCTCTCACAGTCAGCTGAGTGGCTGGCTCGGCCTCGGTGTTGCCCAGAGAATGCTTGAAAGCAGAAGGAACTTTTTTTTTTTGGAGCTTTTGTATTTTATGATGTGCTAAGTATCATTTTGTATAATTTTTAATACTTTTTTTGTTCATTGTTGGCATATGCAAAATACAGAATAACTAAGAATTTGAACCTATTCTCATTTACCCAACACTGAAGTTACCAAGAATGAAATGAATTAGGCTTAGGACCAAAAACCTGACAAATCCAGGAAACAGGTTCACCACAGGTCCCAAGCTTGGCTGTTAAATGGTCCGGCACCTGTATTTACAGTATTTCTTTATCCATCACCTAATGTAAGTCTCATCCGACACACCATCTCCAGCCACAATTTACTCTCTCCACCATATTCTCCCAACAAGTAATTTGGGCGACCTCTCCTCAGTAAGAATTCCCCCAAATAATTAAGGTCAAAGTATATACTAATCTAATTGAGCAATGCAACAAAGAGTAATGTCTGCCTCCAGCATGACAAAGATGAGAAAAAAACTCAGTTCTCATGATCTGTTTATTAAGGGAAACCTGTATGTTATTTCTCACATACTTGTACAGACTGTTACACTGAACACTGAGCTCTGAGTTATACAAGTCTATATCATGCTGGGGCTATTTACAACGATCATCAGCTTGAAAATTAAATAAATCAAATTTGGCTAAATATTACTGTTGTAGCAACTGACTCAGATAGCAGTGCTAAACTCTACTCTCAAGTGTCAGGTCAGGAAAACGAGATCAGACTCAGAATCTGCTCCTGCCCCACTTGCTGAAGGTCCATCTTCTGAGCTAACCTGTAATATTAGTAACATCTTGAGTTATTCCACATTTGAAGTCAATGGATTTCCTTATATTCATTAACTGTTGTGATTTACTTTATTCAATACTGTATTCTCTCTTATTCCTCAAAACCCCTTTTATCATGAGACAATAATGAAAGACATCTTTTATATACCCTGTATTTACATCATCCATTATAGAGTGCAATACCTACGAACTAATGGTTGGAGGATGTGTAAATAAAGCAAAGGACACAATAGTATGAATGCATGCTTAATGTTGAGGTTTTAGCTTGGCCTCATACAAATAAGAAGTTGTAATGAATGCCAGGTTTAATACCCAATACAGTACAGGGAGATATGCTTGTGTTAATTTGACAAGTCTGAATTACTTACCCCAGATGAAGTGCCACATGTTCCAAAACTGCGCCTCAGGGTGGGAGTTTGGACCGGCTCTGGGATGAGGGCATCATGCATGGCGTGCTTCCAGGTCCAAGATGTGGCCACACACTCAAACTGTTTTTTGTCAGTATCATACAATCTCCCTATCTCAGGTTCCATACATACCTGTAATATAATATCAAGTGAGTGAGCACATTTGATTGTTTTCTGCACCAAAGGATTTCATCTAGCTTAGTCCTAAAACTTGATGACCAGATCTAACTGGGTCATGATCAACAATAAAGTCATCTGCCAAAACCCTGATCTGAAATAACCCCAATTTTTACATGAAACCCACTCTCTAAATATTGGTGAACAATTCCTAAATGTGTAAAACATCTAGCTAGCCTTCTTCAAAATACCACCAATGAATACACTGAACAGGCATTTTATGAAAACACATGCCCAACACCTTAAAATGTTCCAGCAATCTTCACAAAATATTGTTAAACATAAAAACATTAACCAAATTTAGTACCATGTACATAAAAATACAGAATACAAATAGAATAAAAAATATATTCAAAATTGATTCAAAATCAATAACAACAATAATCTTTTAACCTTGGTTGAAAATGCAACAAGTAATAAGAAATTTTCTTATAAAAAATATTTATAATAAAACAGTATGTCAATATTTTTACCTTGGTGTATGGATCAGTGAGTAGTGACTGTATTGAAATAAGGACCTTGGAGATGGTGAGAGCTAAAGACCAGTTGTGCTGTATGGAGTCGATCCCAATGTCTCCGTGCCTGGAGACATTAGGGTGGAAGATCTTGGTGATAAAGCGCACAATGGGTGGACACAGTGGGTAGCTGGAAACGAATGTTACCATTATTTTACTGTAACCATGACAGAATATAAAAATATCATGCACAATGAAAATATCAAAACAGGTAGCTACAGAAAACTAATTAGATGTTACCCAAATACCTTTTATGTAATGTTACAATATGACAATAAGTAAAACGAAGTCTTCAGGGTACAGTACACCCAACCACTTATGTATTGGGTCCCCTCTCTACCCAAATAAAATATTAAAAGTGGTGTCCCCACAGTGAAGGAGTTAGTACTAAGAAAAATACATTTTCTCTGATGTACTTAAATAATATACGGTTGACGTACTGAGTGGGACTATCACCGAAAGAGGGCGTGAAGACCAAATATCATGAGTAGAAACTTAGGCAATAATTCTGCTGTAGGTCAGACTCATGGTTCAAAAGTAAGTCTAGAAATTAGTAATTGGATTTTTCTCCAATTTTGTAAATCTCAGAAAATGGTCTCACTAAATACTTACAAATTTCAGCCAATAGAACTAAAGAAACATTATATTTTTTTGTCCCTTGTTACCTAGGTTTACACACATTGGTTACAAGGCATAAACCATCACAAACAATCTACTTGACAAAGAACTGAAGATACAAGAAGAATGCATGGAGTTTATACATCTTTAGGGAGTCACAAAGACATTAAGTGATACATGAAACATCTGCACGACAAAAACTTATACTGTATACAGTACCTATGAGGTATTTGGATATACAAGAAAAATGTCCCTCCCTCATATGGGGAACCCCCAGGACCACGTATTGAAGCCTGCCAGTGCAGAGACATCTTATCCAATGGTGACGCTTGTATACCTTCAGGTGGGTCCGACCGAAGTGCTGCAAAACAAACACAATCTATTAGTAAATGTACATCAGTACTAAGAACTCAGTATACAACTCACAGCAGCATTAAGAAAATTGGATCAAGTTAATATGAGACACTTTAGCTCATTTCACCTGAAGATTAAACACCCTCATGTTACCTGGGGGATTGGGTAAGGTATGCTGAGTTAGGATGGTTAATCTGAAAGAGAAATAAGTTGGGGTGCCTAATCTTCACATAATCCAACAGTGTGAGCCATATTAACAAAATATTTAATAACCTCTCAAGATTTATTAACACTACCACTTGGACATCATGCATATTCCTGGTAAGAGCGGCCTGTACAGAAACAGTTTTTGACATGCTAGTTCTCCTTATAAGGGTACCACAATAATTGCTGCCTTTAGTCCTTTGGACAGATGCCAAAGAACTAAAAATTTCAAGTAACGAAATAAGAAATCAAAATACAGTAGTACTTCTAAGTTCATTTCGCAGACGATTTCTTCTCCATGAATTTTCACTGTTGTGAGGTGGTGTGAGAAGGGACATCTGGTGAAGACACATGTGACAGGGAGCACTTTCTGTCCTGTAACATAAAGATATTTGTTTTTAACGTATTACACCATACATTACAACTGGTATTGAAAAGTGAAAGTGGGTCCCATGGGCATGACTGTATACCAAGCCTTCGGTGGCTGGCTACACAAGGAGGTAACATGGCCGGTACTGCATTACAGATATTACAAATCCAATATATCATTATAAAGATATTATTCCATAGCAGTTGCTATAAGGTACAATACCAAACACAAAGTTCCTCACTGTGTCTTAAAGAAGCAACCTTTATGATACAAGAATAATAACTATCCCCCCCCCCAAAAAAAAGGCTTGGTTTTATGCATATCAGAGGCTCAATACTGTACTATGCTCTACCCACACAGTTCCAAATGGGCAGTTGTGCATGGAACTCAGAAATGTTTATGGATCCCCGATACAAACTTGTTGTAGGAAACCAGAATCTTAACAAATTATATTTTGCATGTTGCATAACACTAGCTTAGTGTGATTGTTTCCTTTGGTACTAAAATGCAGTTTTAGTTCAGTATTTGTGAGACCTTATTTTGTTTCCTATAAATTTTTATGTGTATCAGCTACATTTCTATGTACAGTATATAAATGAGTAATAATGTTAGTTTTAAAGATAAAGTTCTCAAGATACAAACTACAGACCAAGATCAATACTCACAACTTGGTATACACCATCTGCCAGGGAACATCCTTGAAGAGAGGTGTATACAGTGGCCATCTACACTGTGTATACTTCTGCCACTGATCATCAGACACATAGCGGTTCACTAGCTCCTGCCAACGGCGACACACACGCCCCACAGACCACAATGTCATGTCATCCAGAAGATCAAACACCAACACCCAAACTGTGGCAAGAATGTTACACTCAAAAACAGACCCTTCTGTGTGGTGCTTCTTGTGTACTGTAAAATACTTAACCACCATTTCCCACACTTAAAGGATACTGAATACATAATAAAACACACATTTGCACAAAGATGATTAGAAATGCACTATAAACTTCTGTTTCTTCTAAGTCATTATTTCTTAAGATAAAATCAATATATTTCAAGAAAAATCTATAACAAACAGTAATATCTCTGTCAGCCGGAACTCTCGTCTACCAGGAACTGAAATTGGTTCAGAATTTTTTCAAGGTCGAAAATCAGGCTTGATTTTCTGGAAAATTCCAAGAAAACTTCCAGAAATTCCTTTTCCCCCCCCAGGGTCTGGGAGCAAATTCCGAGGATGAAATAATGCAAATTTCTGGAAAATTCCAAGAAACATTTACCAGTACCCTGATAATTTTCAGGGATGTTGGATTTTTCCGGGTTTGAGAATCATCTAGTTACCCGGAAATCTCTCATCCCAGTAAAAGCTCTGCATCAATTATTCCTGCTAACAGGGATATCTCCGTATTTCAAAATATAAAAATGTGAATACAGTGGTCCCTCGGTTAACGAGCACAATCCGTTCCAGCAGGTTGCTCGTTAACCGAAAACTCGTTAACCGAAACCATTGTTTCAATGGGTTTTTGGGTAATTGGTTCCAGCTCACCGAAAATTGCCTAAATTCAACAAAAAAGGTAGAAAAGTACACTTACTTTGAGGTGTGTATGTAGAAGGCTCCTGGATGATGATGATGATGGGAATTAGAATGGGGGTGGAGGAGAAGGAAGAAGAGAAGGCATTAGAAGAGAAGTCACCCCATGGCACCATTTCACCCATAAAATTTTAGTTCTTTTGGTGTATTTCAAGATTATTTTCTTTAAATCAACACTGCACTGCATTATATATTGTCAATATGTAAAATATATTTCAAATGACCAATAATTTGCTTGGAAACACAGAAAAAAAGCGTTTAGTTGAAGAGAGTCTCAAGCAAGATGTTACCTCCAGTGAAAACAGAGAGAGACTAACGCCTGTCTGGTGTGTTAACAGGCTGGATGGCACGCCAGAAACTAGTTTTTTTACCTTCAATTATGTTCAATAATTGTTAAAATGACTAAAAAAGTTAATATTAAACTTTTAAAATTATTGAATAGTATAAACTTCTTGATATTTACTAAAATAGTAAGGAATTAAAGCCCTAAAACCGATTACTGTATTGGCGGACTAATACTACAGCTGGTGGACCGCCAAATGCAAGTGAAAACATGTTGAAGTCGGCTCGTAAAAAAATCGTTAATCGAGGGATTGCTCGTTAACCGAAGTTAAGAATCTTATGGAAGGTAAATCGTTAACCAAGGCGCTCGTTAACCGAGGGACCACTGTACATTATCTAATAGCAAGGGTTCAGTGTAAAGCAATTACATCTTAATAACTAATTACTAGTTGCATAACCTTCATACAAACTCATGTTTAACCATAAAAATAATATAGTACATTTTCTAACAATGTTTTTACCAGCTGACTTATACTATACGTCTTATGGAGTACAGTATGTAATTTTGAAGGAGCTCAAACTAACCTTCTGGAGGCATGCGATGTATCAGGGTTGGGTCGAGGTTTTCTGGAGGGCGAGGACAAGTTAGATTGATTATCTGCTCTTGAAGAGTCTCCCGTACTGCAACCATTCTTCCATCAGCGTTCATAACAAGAGGTCTCCTTGTATCTGGCAATCGAAGACTACCGCCACCTCCTCCTTGACCAGCAATATTTCTTCCTGATAATCCTCCTCCAGGTCCAGATAACCCTCCTCCAGCTCCAGGTAGTCCTCCTCCAGCTCCAGGTAGTCCTCCTCCAGCTCCAGGTAGTCCTCCAGTAGCTCCAGGTAATCCTCCACCTGATGATCCCATGGCTAGCATACCAGCACTTGAATTAACACCCACACTTGCTGCAGCTCCACCAACCATACTTCCTAAAATGCCAACACTGACTGTCCCGGAGGTCCCAGCAATACTGGCCAGCGGCTGTCCTCCTGTAGTTCCAGACATGCCGGTTGATATCCCTGCACCAGATAATTCAACAGCAGAAGCTATAGGTGATTCACTAATGCCAACATCCATGCTATCTGCAGCAGCACCTTCCACAAAATCATAGTCGTCAGTTTCTGTTTCGCTGTTCACTAACACATTTGTCCCAACACTTCCCTCCTGTTGTTGTGCCTGCTGCTGGAACTGCTGTTCTATATGATGTAACTGATAATGCTGTTGTTGCTGTGGCTGCTGGACTTGTTCCTGCGTCTGATAATAGTCTCCAGGTTCACGTGGTTCTTCATTCCCCGAATCTCCATCATCAGTTTTCTATAAAAAAAATAAGATACTGTATGGAACAAAGTAGACTTGACCTACACCACATTAACTGCTACACCCGTACTCTTGGCCCCTGATCACTGTCTATTTATAACCTCGTAGCTACAGTATTTTTGTTCTTTTATTACATACCGGTATTATCAGTATTTTGTTTTTCCATTTCTAAGGTTTTAAGTTTTTCTAAAAGCATTTATGAGTCAACTTGTGACATCAGCTAACAATCTTATGTCACGTAACACCTGAGACTGAGGATAATGATAAGTAAGATCACTGGGTGGAAGGATTAAAACTGAATATATTACCCACAGTTTATAGTGCCCTTATACCATTTGTCTGAACACAACAAACAACTTCTGTAATTTAATTGTTGTCATAGAAAACAATCATCAACAAAGTAATGTGCAATAAGATTTTTTTTTTCAGCCATAAATTACATTGGTGTTCTCCATTAAAGGCAACTGGCAAATCTTTACATGGTACCACACTTACCTCTTGATATGGGCCAACACTGGGTAGTTTAGAGGGATCATCTGGGTAGAGGAAGGAGTGACAGGTGGTACACAGGGGCTGAATAAAGTTTGGCCCGTAGAAGCCGGTGCAGTGAAAACATGCATCATTCTGAAAGGTAATGAATTAAGTCATACCTGTAATCAGCAAATATTATGGTCACATGAAATATATTCAGTAACAATCCTGTCAAACACTTCATTATTAAAATTCATTAAGCTTAAAACTACTTGTACAGTACTGTATGGGTTAATAATAATAGTGTACAGTGAAACATTTTTATTACCAAGTATCAGTCATATCTATCACTTCCCAATACAATACAGTACAATACAGTATACATCACAATGGCTCATCTTCTTGGACAGATTTTTTCACCACAATTTAGCAGGTTATACATACTATGAGGTAAATTTAAAAGCAAGAAAAAAATGGCAAAGGGTTAAGCACAAAATATCAAAGCATGAAACCTTGAGATAACAAAACACACACACACACACACACAAAGTGAGCTGCCCATTCCAAGAGTTATGTCATGGTTGGGAATACGGTATGCATGTCATACTCACACCCCACACGAACAAGACTTTCAATGTCTTCCATGCAACACCGAACTCCCTAGTACAGTACAATACAGTCCAGTACAGTGACCCCTCGTTTAACGAACGCCTCGGTTAACGAAATTTTGGTTAACGAACTGCCTTCCATAAGGATCTTCAATTCGGTTAACGAATTTCTTACGAACCGACCTCAACATGTTTTCGCTTGCACTGACCGGGCAACCAGCTTTAGTATCATTCCGCCAATACATTAATCGGTTCTAGGGCTTAAATTCCTTACTATTTTAGTAAATATCAAGAAGTTTATACTATTTAACAATTTTAAAAGTTTAATATTCAATTTTTTAGTCATTTTAACAATTATTGAACATAATTGAAGGTAAAGTGACTAGTTTAATGCGCAGCACCCAGCCTCTTAACACAGCAAACAGGCGTTAGTCTCTCTCTGTTTTCACTGGAGGTAACATCTTGCTTGAGACTCTCTTCAACTAAATGCTTTTTTTCTGTGTTTCCAAGCAAATTATTGGTCATTTTGAAATATATTTTACATATTGACAATATATAATGCAGTGCAGTGTTGATTTAAAGAAAATAATCTTGAATTACACCAAGAGAGCTAAAATTTTATGGGTGAAATGGCACCATGGGGTGACTTCTTCCACCCCAATGCCTTCTTCTTCCTTCTCCTCCACCCCCATTCTAAATCCCATCATCATCATCATCCAGGAGCCTTCTACATACACACCTCAAAGTAAGCGAACTTTTCTACCATTTTTGTTGAATTTAGGAAATTTTCGGTGAGCTGGAACCAATTACCCAAAAACCCATTGAAACAATGGTTTCGGTTAACGAACGACCTTCTGGAACGGATTGAGTTCGTTAACCGAGGGGTCACTGTACAGGTTTGCTCAGTTCTCCGTGCTTGGTTGTTTTTCAGAACAATACTGTACGGTACTCATCTCTGTATTCTTAAGATTGTCATTAGTCCTGTTCCTCAGTCCTAACATACCTATTTTCCATTTAGTAATTATAAACCTGTTGATAAAAGATGTCACCAAAACCAGTGGGATAAACTAAGATTTTTCCTAGCAGTAAGCAGAATGGAGTTTCTTGCCACTAGTTATGAATTTGATTGTGATTACAGTATAAATAACCCGAATGTGGTAGTTCAACTTAAACATGCCAAAAGAAGTGAGCTTTTAATTTCTTTCTTGTATTATTCCTTGGTTGAATAACTTGTTTATCACTATCTGAATATCAGCAATGAGATCACCTAAAAAATAGCTCCCCAGTTTATTTCACCTAAGATTACCCACCCAAATACCAATCTAACCTAACCCTTGCAAGTGAAAAAACCTGGGTGGTTAGTCTTCTTTAACTTTTTTTTTTACTTTTATCCTCTTCTCCGCTGATCGGCTCGTGAGCTGCTGGAGCAATCGGTCACGTCTCAGATGATCCATGCTTTGTAGGATGATATTAGTGAATTATACCTACAGTGACAACTACACTATATAATAAGATAACCCCATTGGCAGTGTTTACATAACTAACTATATTTTAGTGAAAAGTGGAAAAATCCATTTGGCCTCAAATGGGTATTCTTTCACTTTATCATACGGTGTCTCGACCGCTGATATACCAGACTAATTCACCTAACACACATGTAACATACAGCTTAACACACATGTAACATACAGCTTCAAAACACAGTGACATCACTGGACACGGGACACACTCGAGGGCTGGACTGTGTGTGTGAGTTGTGTCGTGGTTGGGAATACGTGTATAGATGTCACACCCACACCCACGGTCACTCCCCCTCACATATATTGTTATACCAGAACCACCACCATCATCTTACCTTATGTGTGAAGTCCTCGGGGAACTCCATCAGAGTCCCGAACTAAGTGTAACACGGCAGGAAACGGAATTTCATAAGAGCAGCAAATTTGCAGGCAGACGCCATGGAACTAATGTACACACTGATGGCCTCGGGTCCGGGCTCGATCAGTGTTGACAACACCGACCCCGCCGACACCCGACACCGACCCCTCGAACCCCTTACTGAACTAGACTGCTAAGATAGATCATTAGCCTTAAGAATAGTCATTCAAGTTCACGTTAATTCAACATGTTCATTACGGATTTAGAGATACAAACAACAGGAAACAGTCGATCCCATTTCAAGCAAATATAGCTCAAAAATATTATTGAAAGTTTATTTCCTTTCCTTTGAGGAAAGGAAGAAATATAGAGAGAATTAAATAACAGATGTAGAAAACCTACGTTGATCTACTTAGTAGTGATACAGTTTACATGAATACTTGTAGTTGAGTAAAGCAGACCCGGTGCAGTGTAGTGAACCGAATTCCCATCCCCTCCCACAGGAAACAACGGATAAGCTATTTTTCAAAGTACTGTAGTGAATTTTTTGGGGGGTTTATCATAAACACATTAGTAAAGACTTATATTAACCAATGTGTGTATAAATAACTTTTTAAATATCATTTAAAACACCAGCAAATTCCAAGCTCATTAGTTAGAGAGCTTCTGTCTCTTGTAGAGATTAGTGACGGTAATCCTGTCTCTCTTTCAGGTTGGTAGGACAGAAGGCAAACATAATAACTCACATTATAATACAGTATATACCATCAGGATTTGGTCGGGGTTACAGGAGTACAGTACTGTAGTGTTACAGTTACAGCAGCAGAAGGATACCAGAAGGGTTGTTGTGGAATTGAGGCGGTGCCGTGAGTCCTGAGGGAGAAGAGGATGAGACCACAGTCGATAAGAGGGCGAGCCTTTGTGGGGAACAGGTTATTTGGTTCACACTCAGGATGGGATGGAGAAAGGAAACTCACAATGTGCTCTCTGTATACATGTTGTATTGGAGGTACAATGCAGCTTGGTGCTGGGAAGGCAGCGTGGTTACAAGCGTGATGTAGAGAGAGCTGGTTGGGGAGGGTGCTCAGAGGAGGACCAGCTTGTGGGTCGCCATGCTCGCCGGCGGGAGAGAGGACCGCCAGGCAGGTGGAGGAGGAGGTGTTGCTGGCTGGTTGGTGGAGGTAGAAAGAGGGAGGTCACCACGAGGTCAGGTCTTTTATAGCGGAGGTAGGTGTGGGTAGATAGTTGACCCCCGCTCCGTGGGCGGCGCTGGTTGACCTAGACCACGAGGCATACACTGGGGAATTCGCGGGGTCGGCTACTCAGCGACAAACAGCGTTTGTAGGGGAGAAATACACTACACCTTTCCTGACCTGGGCGTGTGGGAACTGAGAAAATGGGTCCTTTGAGAATACCACGGTCTTCCCATTGGTCAAGGTGTTATCTACGCAGGAGGGATGCGTGCCCGAGTAGAGTTAATCCGAGTGTGACAGGAAGAGAGTTAGGGTGCTACTTTGCTTATACTTTTATCCTCTTCACCGCTGGTCGGCTCGTTAGCCGCTTGGGCGATCGGTTACGCCTCTGTTACGCACTGTTGGCAAGTACTGGGCATGCACCGGCTCCAGTGTTGGTCAAGTCTGGCCTTGAAAGAGCTCACACTCGGTGCCGTCACAACACTTTCTGGTAGATAGTTCCAAGAGTTCACAACTCTCAATCCGAAAAAGTTTGCCCTCACAGTTTCCTGGACTTGCGTCTGCCAGCTCCAAGTAAGGACACACACGACTGAGTAGGGCCCCTTGAGATGCTTATACACCTCAACTAGGTCCCCCCTTGCCCGTCTGTAGTATAAGCTAGGCAAGTTCAGGCGCTACAAACTCTCAGGGTAGCTGAGGTGCCAAAGTACAGGTACCAGTCTGGTGGCCCTCCTTTGAACATTTTCAACCAACTGACAGTCCCTAGCATATCTCGGGGACCAGATGGGGTGACAGTACTCCAGATGGGGAAGCACTTCACTTTTCAAGATCGTTACGAGGGACGGACCGTCTAGATATCTGAACGATCTTCTTATAAGACCCAATAATTTATTTGCCTGATTTACCTTCTTCTCACAATGGCCTGAGAACTTCAGCTCATTGTCAACATACACACTTACGTTCTTCTCACTTTCAGTCTCAAATAATGCAGTTTCTTCATCCCGTTGGGACATATGATACGCCTCCTTACCGTTGGTACGCCCCAGGTGCATCCTCTTACACTTCGTGACATTATTTTCAGCCTTTCGTTGGGTACACTGTCGAAAGCCTTGGCAAAATCTAGGTAAATATTGTCGATATTACCACCCAGTTCCAGAATATGGGTCCAAATATCCAATACCTTGAGCAATTGTATTAAGCAGGAGCGCCCCGGCATAAAACCGTGATGGCAATCCTCTACAAGGTTGTTTCGTAGTAGATGTTCCATCGCGGCATCTCTGATAATACTCTCAAGTACTTTACATATTATGCTGGTCAGGCTCACCAGTCAAAAGTTGTTCGTGGAGTGACTATCGCCCTTCTTGAAGATAAGACTCACATAAGCCGCTTTCCATTCATTGGGGACCTTTTGTTCATCCAGGCATTTACAAAACAGGATCTTCAGGGGCTCGGCAAGCTCGTTGCACAACTCTCTTAGCACTCTTGGATTTACCATGTCAGGGCCGGGACTCTTATGGACCTTTAGCTTGGACAGTTTATTTCTAATACCCTCTTCTGTGAACTCAACGTGTATCAGTGCTGTGTCGAACCGTCTGTCCTCAAACGCAGGAAGGTTAATCGCATCTCTCTTGTGAACACCGAAGAAAAGAAGCTGTTCAATGCCTCAGCTTTATCCTGGTCAGAATCTGCGTAACTACCATCTTCAAGCCTCAGGTCTGATACTCCTACTCGCGTTTTTAATTTCGACTTTGCATAGCGGTAAAACGCCTTTGGATTTGACTGGATTTGACTTGACCTCGCTTGGAACCAGCCTCTGGAACTCCTTTTCAGCCCTTCTACACTCTACCTGTGCTTGGTTTCTGGCTCTTGCATACATCCTCCCGCCCTGCTCATCGTTTGATCTAACCCACGTCTTGAATTTCTGGGTTTTCTTCTTAACTTTGTCGACTGCCGCATGGTTCATGTGTAGGGATCCCCTTGTATTCCTAGAGGCACTGGGTTTGGTCTTGGGTATATATTTATCGATCAAATGGATCACTTTACTAGTTATGATATTCAGCGTAGTGTCTGCGTTCTTGTGCCTTGACGAGTCAGGCCAGTGGATACCCCTCATCTCTTCTCTCATCCCGTTGTAATTTCCTTTGTAATATTTGCACCTTGGCCTGGTCTTATCTTGAACTAGGTAACAGTTAAATCTGAATGACAACACTATATGGTGACTGGTGCCAACTGTCGCTACTCTCTCTCAGGACCTCCAAACAAAGGTAAACAAATTGGAAATGTTTTCTTTGATTATCAATATTTGAATTGCTTTGAAGGAAGTTTTAATGATGCGTTCGTTTTAATGTAATACTGTACTTGTTTTCAAATCCACTGTCAGAGAAGAAAACGGAATAACCGGAAACTAATTTACGCTGGAAGTCTCGCTCACAACGGCTCCTTTAATACATTAGTCAATATTGTTCCCAACAACACGAAAGAAATAGCTGGATTTCACTTAACCGGGAAGTAATTTAAGCAAATTAGATTTAGGGAGGATGATTGAGTACGATGTGGTTTTGGTTTATTTCGCTTGCGGCCAGAAATTACTTGGTCCTGTAACCTCCGCCCCTCTTGTGAACAGACAGAACCCCTTAAGCAAGTACCTCCGTGATGCTGGACCTACACCCTCCGTGATGCTGGACCTACACCCTCCGTGATGCTGAACCTACACCCTCCGTGATGCTGGACCTACACCCTCCGTGATGCTGGACCTACACCCTCCGTGATGCTACACCCTCCGTGATGCTGAACCTGCACCCTCCGTGATGCTGACCTACACCTCCGTGATGCTGAACCTACACCCTCCGTGATGCTGGACCTACACCCTCCGTGATGCTGGACCTCACCTCCGTGATGCTGGACCTCCACCCTCCGTGATGCTGGGCCTACACCTATGCTGAACCTACACCCTCCGTGATGCTGGACCTACACCCTCCGTGATGCTGGACCTACACCCTCCGTGATGCTGGACCTACACCCACCGTGATGCTGGACTCCGTGATGCTGAACCTGCACCCTCCGTGATGCTGGACCTACACCCTCCGTGATGCTGAACCTACACCCTCCGTGATGCTGGACCTACACCCTCCGTGATGCTGGACCTACACCCTCCGTGATGCTGGACCTACACCCTCCGTGATGCTGGACCTACACCCACCGTGATGCTGGGCCTACACCCTCCGTGATGCTGGGCCTACACCCTCCTTCCTCTACCACAAGAGGGTGTGTTCGGCCGGTCTCCTTGCAACTTATCGTAGTCATAAAGAAATATCTGTCAGCCTGTCCATCCAACACTACAGTAGGTACGGTCAGTTTCTTCCCTGCCCACCTAAGTCCCGTCGGCGTTCACTTATGGTTGGGACACACGGTATTGTCTCAGCTCGCATTATATAGACTTGTCTGGTAAGTTTCTGAGGCGGAGTATATCCTGTACTTCTCTTCTTGTAAACTGATTAGGTTCCATATCTAATAGTCGTCACCACTATCGTCAGGGACCTGTCAGGGCCTCAGAGGGAGTCACTCATCACAATGTCAACATCCGCCAGTATGCTAGATAAATCAGATACGCTGCTCACACTTTAATTGTTTCTTCTTTTAATTCACCATTTCACCACTATCAGCTTCATAGCCGTTCAAGCGGTTGTCTGTTCTGAGTTTCTCTGGAGTACCCGGAGGAAACCTGTGATGTTTGGTAGTGAGGGTCACTGGATAATACCCTTCTCAGGTCTGTCCCGAACCAGTAATCGAACCTAGGACACAACAGTGATAGATACATGGGTTCCCGCTGTCTTGTTCTCCATATAATACGATATACTCGACCGCGTGTTTTCTCCTTTTTTTTTGCTAATTAATTAAGCATAATTAATAAAAA